TTGAGGAGGGCACCTTTTGGGATGAGCACTGGGTGTTGTATGGAAACCAATTTGACAATAAATTTCATATATAAATAATAAAAAAAATAAATAAATAAATAAACATTAAAAAAAAAACCTTTTTCTAACCCCTTTCTCTCATCACTCCCAGCTCCAACCTCCAGCCCTACCTCCCACATAAACACTTACACACACACTACCGCTGCCTTCTGGGCTGTTGGCTAACCTGAAGTTCTACATTTCCAAACCAGTTATTCAGCTGTAGCCTCCTGGGTTTGGACTTTGTTTCTGTTTTGGTGAGGAAAGAAAAACAAACGAACAAACAAACAAAAAAGAACGACAACAAAAAAAAAACCTGACCTTTTCAAGGTAGCACAAAGTATAAAATTAGGATTATATTTGAATTTAAGCTTGTCTTTATTATTCCTACTATAAATAAAAATATCTAGAGTGCTTTTATTTTCCTCATTATAAATATAGTATTGAGCAGATTTTGACATGTTCTTGATTATTACTTGCTGCTTTCTGAAAAAACATAAGATGTTAAAATTTGGAAAATCTAGGTGAAGGTATACAGGAATATCTGTGTGTTTTCTGTCCATCTGAAATTAATTTCCAGAGAAAAAGTTAAAATGTCTCATTCTTGAACAATTATAAATTGTTCAACTGAAAAACATGCTTGAGATCATTGAAATATGATTATATAGGACTCAGGGCCCATTATCAACAGTTTATATTTTATTTGGGAGACTAGATTATGCATATAATTAAAGGGTAATAAAAGTTGGTATTTGATGAGGTACTTATGTGAACGTTAAGTCCTACATGTATGCGCTAGCATGTTTGTTGAGGATATGTTGTTTGAAATCCCCACCAAAACCAGAAGCCCAGTTTCTAAGAAACCTGCGAAACTTTGGAAAATTAAAAAAAAAAAAAAAATGGGGGGAGGGAGAATTTTTCAAGTGATGTTGAAAGACCACCTTCCACTTACTAAGCAAGCCTGTATCAAGACTGTTCAGGTTAATAATTAATGAGATGTTCCATTAACAATTTTAATGAGAATCTGAATAGTGCTCTTAGAAACACCCTTAAGAATGTTACCAGCATTCTTTGTTGCAGTTGGCCTAGAGCGGGATCCCCTGCCCACCTTACATTATTTTTGCTTGGGTTTTAGGGTTTTTTTTTTTTCCCTTCATTTTATTTACCTCCCTCTGCTTGCATGCTTCATCACCTCACCTGAACTCTTAAGGTAAGATACTAATCTCTGTGTATATATGTTTCCCTATTGTAAAATATACTTAGCATATATTTTTAAGACATCAAACTATAATCAGGTTAGAATAATTGAACGTTAAAGCTGCTTACCAAGAAAGTATGTTTATTTGTAAGTAAAAGTAATACTTTGAGTTTCAGTAGCTACTCGTTTGCAGAATTTTGCACTTTTCTTAGTAATTTAAAATTTCTTTTGCAAAAGTGGTAGTCTAAGAAACTTGCTTAATTTTTAGCCTATATGTCAAATATAGAAGACACAAATTATCTATGAGAGAATTAATTCCTTGAGCATCTTATACTGTTATCTCTAACCGTTTAAACAGTTATCTATAAACCTTAAAAACTACTTTTTGCCTCAGGACCTATATTCCTTAGATCAACCATTAGAAAACTACGTGTTTAATTCACATATATGACTAAAGAATCATGTGCCTTCTTGGTTTGGCCATTTCCTCTTGTCTATTTTAAGTGTTGACTGTTTAAAGAATCAGTATTAAAAAAAGGTTACTTGTGCATTTCTCGCTTGGAATATTAAATACCAGAAGCTGTGATTGCTTTTCTATGAGGATAGAAACCCAAATGCCCTTCTGCCCTTTTTATATAACTGAACTCTTAGTGTTTCTTTCCAGAACAACAGCTGTTCATGCTTCGTTTACGGGGAACTCTTGTGACCATTAACCTCCCATAGCTTTACGTGTACATCCTTGCACCTCAAGAAGAGATGGCTTGCGCTGAGTATTCTTTTCACGTGCCAAGTCTTGAGGAGCTTGTTGGAGGTAAATACAATAGTAACTGAAGGGTTTTTAAATTATTCTAAGGAAAACAATTAAAAATAAAAATATTGTAGGGGCGCCTGGGTGGCGCAGTCAGTTAAGCGTCCGACTTCAGCCAGGTCACGATCTCACGGTCCGTGAGTTCGAGCCCCGCGTCAGGCTCTGGGCTGATGGCTCGGAGCCTGGAGCCTGTTTCCGATTCTGTGTCTCCCTCTCTCTCTGCCCCTCCCTCGTTCATGCTCTGTCTCTCTCTGTCCCCAAATAAATAAAGAAATAACGTTGAAAAAAAAAAATTAAAAAAAATAAAAATAAAAATAAAAATATTGTAAGACATAATTTATGTGATAGTATTTTCAGTGCAGAGCTCATTTTCCTTTTCGGTGTCTCTTCTGTACTATTTTTATTGAGAAAGTCCGAAATTATGCCCCTCCAAAAAAAAAAAACAAAAACAAAAAGTAAACTCACCACTTGAAGATTCTTGTTAAGATACCAACTTTACAGAGTGAAAATGAATATAGTAATCCAATACTTAAGTATGTGTGATGCCCGAAAAGTCACACCGTTTTAGCTTTTTACCAGTTACAATATTCTTTAAGTATAAAATCTGTGGTATATTAACCATGTTCCTAACATTACTACTTTTTCCCCTTCTCCTGATATGATAGACTGCCAATGAACTCGCTTAGATTTCTGTATGTATTTTTCTGCATTTCCCCTTGTTCAAATAGGAATTTAAGGCACCTTCGCAAGATGAATTAGGTGGGGTGACAGATAAGAAAAAGAAAGTAAAAATAAGAATATGAAATGAAGCCAGGAATAGTACTAAGCCAAAATTGTATAGCCTGTCAGAAAGCTAACATTTGATTGATGGCCTCTAGCTTGTATTCTGACGGCGAGTATAAAACCTACCCTTACTTTTCAAAGTGCACCCATCCTGACAGTTCATCTGTCTTCCTGATTAAGGTTGAAGTCAAAAAGCGTACTCAGGTTTTGCTTGGTTATGACTCTCTTCTTCTGACCTTCCTAGTTTTTCCTCAGTGGGATGGCGGCTAACAAATCATCTGTATGACTAGTATTCTTTGCCTGTATTTTCTTTCTGTCAGTCTTTCTGCCTTCCCTGTTATGAGAGGACAGCTAGGAATCTTTTCTTTGAGGGCCTTTCTACATCTATCTTCGCTTGTGTGTCTGCGTTTCTATATGTTCTTTCTATATGTACAGGATATTTTCAGTACAAAATAGATTGGAATCTAAGTTTTTTGGCTTGCAATTGATTTTCAATTTTACATAAAGTCCTACAGCAAGAATTTGGTCTCCTTGAAATCGGTAAAAAATAGATTTAACGGTATTTCCACATGCTGAAATATTATAATTTCCATATTGATAAGTCTGCTGTCATTAGTTTAGCTAGGGGAATTTTCCAGGCAATTTGGTTTCTGTTTTCATATGGATAAAAGATCTGGTATGGAATGTCTATGTGGCTAGATTTAGGATGACTTCATGTTTTGGAGAGGTTGATTCTACAAAACTTAAACTAATGACTGACACTACTATCAGAGAAGTTTTTATGGAAACTTTCCATCCTTAGAAGTACATTGCTCCTAGCATTATAAGTTTGAAATAGGTTTCTTTTTTCCCTTTTTGTATTGAGTTACAACATGTCTGCAGTAAAGTGCACTAATCTTTTTTTTTTTTTTAATTTTTTTTTTCAATGTTTATTTATTTTTGGGACAGAGAGAGACAGAGCATGAACGGGGGAGGGGCAGAGAGAGAGGGAGACACAGAATCGGAAACAGGCTCCAGGCTCCGAGCCATCAGCCCAGAGCCCGACGCGGGGCTCGAACTCACGGACCGCGAGATCGTGACCTGGCTGAAGTCGGCCGCTTAACCGACTGCGCCACCCAGGCGCCCCTAAAGTGCACTAATCTTAAGTGTACACCTTGATGAATTTTAGCATGCTTACACTCATGTCACTACCACCCAGACTGAGATATAAAATACTTCGGCATTCCAGAAGACTCCTTCAGGTATTTAGCCAGTCACTATCTCTACCCAAAGAGGTAACCACCGTTCTGACTTCTGTCACCTTAGATGAGTTGCCCGATTTTGAAGTATGTGTAAGTGAAGTCCTATAAAGTCTTTTGTGTCTTACTCCTTTTGCTCAACGTTTTCTCTTCAAGTGTCCATGAAGTTGTTACATGTAATTGCTTACTGTCTAACAATTTAAATATAGACATTTCCATAGGTCTTTGGAATTCTGTCTGCAAAACAAAAGTAGTCCTCACCTTAGTGCAGTGTTTAAATCTCTACAGATCTATAGTGATTTTGATGGGGATTATTTGTGTTTAATTCTGTCTTGTGATTAATTGTGTGTTGGTGTCTAATTATATTAATAAGACCTTGTGATTGTGTGTCTAATGGCTAGTTATATTCATTAGTAAGACCATTTCCCTCTTTTTTTAATGCTTATTTATTTTTGAGAGAGAGAGAAAAAATGCAAGTGGGGGAAGGGCAAAGAGAGAGGGAGACACAGAATCCGAAGCAGGTTCCAGGCTCCAAGCTGTCAGCACAGAGCCCAATGTGGGGCTCAAACCCAAGAACCGTGAAATCATGACTTGAGCCCAAGTCGAACGCTTAGCCAACTGAGCCACCCAAGCACTCCTCTCTCTCTCTCTCTCTTTTTTTTAATTAAAGTAAGCCCTGTGCCCAACATGGGGCTTGAACTCATGACCCCAAGATGAAGAGTCCCTTGCTCTACCAACTGAACCAGGCCCCTCCCCTTGCCCTCTCCCTCCCCCGCCTTTTAATTATACAAATTTAGACTGAGAGCATGATACCCAAAATGTTGAGGGAAGATTTGATATATGGTGGCAAATTTTTACCTGATGTTAACCCTTTTCCTTTTCTGTCAGTTCTGCAGAAGGGCCTCAAAGATAACTTTGCTGATGTCCAGGTGTCTGTGGTCGATTGCCCTGATTTGACTAAGGAGCCATTTACCTTTCCTGTAAAAGGTAAACAGTTTTTGCAATTCACTTTTTTCAGTCCCCATCTTCTGGAACTAAAATTATTATGAAGGATTGTCTTAAATTACCTACAAATAAAGGATATTGTCCCAAATTTTAGACTAAATTGTACTGAATTTCTGTGCAGTTTTCTTAAATTGAGCAAATTTCGTTTTATTCCTTTGTGGGAAAATGCTGTTTTATGCACTTATGTTATTTTCACAGGTTCTATCATCGATATTTAGTAGGCTAGAATCCTTTATATCACATGAGAGTTTTGTTTTTTAACTGTTGGAGCGACTGTTAAGGAAATGTAAATTTCGCTGTTTATATTTATTTATTCAAGACCAGAAGGAATCTTGAAAGCCTTGTATTTGAGCCGTCTGTTAAATTCTTATTTGCCAAGTGATCATCCAGCCGATGTTTAAAGTAAGAAGGAAGGGAAAAAATATTGGTTGAGTAAATATAATTGGTATGATAGATAAACACCTATATTTGGTGACTTAATTTTGACAATAACCCTGCAAAGTAAGTGCTCGCCCCAGTCTAGGGATGAGAAGACTGAAGCTCAGAGAGGCTAGGCAAGATCAACAGTAATCATAATCAGGATTCAAATCCAAGTCTATCTGTTCTGAAAGTCTGACCTTCTCCCATTATATCCTATTGTGATGAGGAATTTGGAGATAAACACTCACACTTCCTCTTTGATTATGTTACTGACATAATTATAATTTTTTGTTAAAAAGTAATTTTACACAGAAGTTCTAGACTCTGCTTCTTTCTCTGCCACGCACAGATTTCATTACCCTAAGGAAGCCAAATAATATATTTGGGCTTCAGATATATTAAAATGGAGAGATTTGGCTTTCATTTTCTTTCTGGGTCTTTCCAGCTTAAACAGTCTCTGATTTTAAGTATTCTTGTAAATTCTACATGATCTCACGGCTCGTGAGTTCGAGCCCCACGTTGGGCTCTGTGCTGACAGCTCAGAGCCTGGAGCCTTCTTCATATTTCATATTCTGGGTCCCCCTCTCTCTCTCTCTGCCCTCTCCCACTCATGCAGTCTCTCTCTGTGTCTCTAAATAAACAAACAAACAAACAAGCATTAAGTATACTTGTAAATTCTGGAAGTTTTGTGTACCAGAGGTAATATATTCTCCCCACTAAATAAGTAGTCAATGGAAGTAAAATTAAAAAATCAGAAAACACAGAAGAGTACAAGGAAAAGGAAAAATGATTCATCTTAATTCTGTCATCCAAAGAGGTTTCTAGATGATAACTTGTAAGCCTTTAAATTGCAACACTAAGGAAGCTAGATATGTACGTTTATATGTATCTTATCTTTTACAAGTGTTAGGTACTTTCTACCTGGTCTGACTGAAGTCACCAATGACTTTGATATGTTTACTAGTATTATTTGGTTTCTCACATATTTCATAGTATTTGGCCATGGCTGCCTGACATTCTGTCTCCCCTTAGTTCTCTCTCCTTTTTCCTTGATTCTTTTGCCTTCTCTTCCTTGGTACCTTTCCGACTTCCATGATGTTCTTTCTTCCTCATTTTTCCTAGCTCCTTTCTCTTTCTGGCAGGCTCTTAAATCCTGACATTTTCTGGAATTCTTTCCTCAACCTCTTCTTATTCTGTACAGTCTCTCTGCATTTTTCCATTTACTCCTGTGATTTTAAATTACTGTGTGGATACAAGAACTTGAAATCTGCACATCTCACCTAGGTAGGTCTGTCTTTTTCTTGGCTATAGATGAGTAATTCCAGCTGTCCACAGGACATCTCCACCTATATATGCTAAGGACAACTTGAGGTCAGCATGTCTAAAATTTAGCTCAATCCTTCACCATAGTTGTCTATTCTCCCTTGTCCTCTTTCTTAATCTACTCTTCTCCATCTCTACAGTCCCCATTTTTAGCACATTACTTGTCTTTTCCCAGGACTACTAAAATAGTCCTCTAATGGTTTCTTTAAATTTCAGTATTACTATCACTTATGAGAAAGACTCTTATCCATGAGTAATTTCTGCTGATCCCATGGAAGAAATTTCTAAAATCCCTAATTATAAATGGGATGTATAAAAATCCTGTACATCTTCCATCTGCATAGCTAAAGAAATAGCGACGTATGTGTATACTTTATTTTGGGATATTGTTAGTATAAAACTGACAAGACTGCTTTTTTTCAAACAAAAAGTAATTATTTTCTACTTTACAGTAAAAAAAAAGAAGGTGCCTTTCCCAAGTTGTGTCTAGCTGCACCTGTGATGTTAATTGAAAGTGTCAGTATGGGGCGCCTGGGTGGCTCAGTCAGTTGAGCGTCCGACTTCAGCTCGGGTCATGATCTCACAGTCTGTGAGTTCGAGCCCCGCGTCGGGCTCTGTGCTGACAGCTCAGAGCCCGGGGCCTGTTTCAGATTCTGTGTCTCCCTCTCTCTCTGCCCCTCCCCATTCATGCTCTGTCTCTCTCTGTCTCAAAAATAAATAAATGTTAAAAAAAAAAATTAAAAAAAAAAATAAAAGTGTCAGTTAAAAAAAAAAAAAAAAAAGTGTGAGTAGAAAGTTCCCAACGTCTGAAGTTATCTCTAATTACTTGCATTTCTATAAACAACCTTGGGAATAAACAACTTTGACAAGAGGATCTCCCAATATGGATTTGTTTAAAAATTTTTTTTAATGTTTATTTATTTTTGACCCAGAGAGAGAGACAGAGCATGAGCAGGGGACTGAGCCACCCAGGTGCCCCACCCAATATGGGTTTCTTAAAGAACTAATATTCTACTGGAGCAAAATACGTTATACTAAAGTACAATTTTAACCAACTCCTCTACCAAAAGCACAGATTTTTTTTCAGTTTTTTTAATGTTTATTTATATTTGAGAGACAGAGACAGAGCACAAGAGGGGGAAGGGCAGAGAGAGGGAGACAGAATCCGAAGCAGGCTCCAGACTCTGAGCCACAAGCTGTCAGCACAGAGCCCAACACAGGGCTCGATCCCACCAGCAGTGAGATCATGACCTGAGCCAAAGTCAGATGCTTAACCGACTGAGCCACCCAGGTGCCCCCAAAGCACAGATATTTAAAGGAATAGGTCATTACAGACTAATTGTAGAATTCTCATCCTATCTGAACTTCGGCTTCAATTCTAGCCCTTGCTCTATTATCAACTTTCCGTTGCCTTTATGCCCGATAATGACAGTATTAGATATATAAGTAGTTAGAATAGGATAGGGATCATAGCTATTTCTGTCTTTCAATCCCTACTATTTGTAAAACTATAAGAATGGAAGAGTTAGGTACCCTTTAAATAATAAATAAGTTAGTGCCTTTTGGCATTTTATACTTAAGTTAGAGGTTTGCCTATTTTTTTTTTTTAACGTTTATTTATTTTTGAGACAGAGAGAGATAGAGCATGAATGGGGGAGGGTCAGAGAGACAGGGAGACACAGAATCTGAAACAGGCTCCGAGCTGTCAGCACAGAGCCCGACGTGGGGCTCGAACTCACGGACCGCGAGATCATGACCTGAGCCGAAGTCGGACGCTTAACCGACTGAGCCACCCAGGCGCCCCGAGGTTTGCCTATTTTTAAAGTTACTTTTTTTTTTTAGGCATCTGTGGGAAAACTAGAATTGCAGAAGTAGGAGGTGTGCCTTACTTATTGCCTCTTGCAAATAAAGAAAAAGTAAGTGTACTTTTACTCTTCACATTCACATGAAGATTATTAGAAGTTGAGTTGATTCCTCTTTTTGTTATTAGAAGACCCACTGACCAATGTGGCATGGAAGTATTAATGGACTCAGTGAGAAAAAAGTACAGATTTGTATAAGTTGTGATTTAAATACTATTTTTTCTTCTTGTATAGGTTTATGATGTAAATAAGATTGCAAAAGACATTAAGCTTCCTGGAGCTTTTATTCTTGGAGCAGGAGCAGGCCCATTTCAGACTGTTGGGTTCAACTGTGAGGTCAGCATACATATAATTATTTTACTTTATTTTGTTATTATTTTTTTAAATTGTTTTATTATTTTCTTATTTTATTTTATTGATTTGACGTTTAGTCTACATATTTTTCTTTTATTGCCCTACCCGAAAGTCTGCTTTCTGAATGAATTGGTATCCTCTTTCTTTATAGATTTGATATTGTTTGGTATCGATTTGGACTATAGCCTATGCTCCACTATAATGGAGCACCAGCCCCTAATTTCAGATTTTCTAGGGTATGCACTCTGTGTTAGATGAGTCTAACATCCTAATGTGGTCTGCTGAGGTCCCTGGATTGTGCAAGATTTTAATCCTTTATCCATCAGAGAATTTCTGCCTTCACTGTAAATCTTTCCTTTTGATATGAAAGCAACTTTTGATGAGAAGATGAATGGAATATTTAATGATCTCGTCAATTCCCTCTTTCAGACTAAATAGCAAGGACCTACCCCAGTGGTATAATGATTATTTACAAAAGATACTATCGATTCCTGTGTGTGTTAGTATATTTACAACATAAAAACACCACGGTCTCTTCCCATCTCTGGACCAGAAAAGTAAAAGACCTCTTGAGTCTGCCCATTCCCTCATCTCTTCAGATGTGACCATTACTCGATAGTCATACAAGGTTCTTTTGTAGAAAGAGTAATATAATTTACCTAGTGTTCAAGATAGAAAAAAAGTCTAAAATTTAAAGCCCAGTTTACAAGGTTTTTGAAACACTGTAAGAAATACTAGACATTTTATAAAATGTTTTTTCAACTTTTTGATGTTTGTAAATCTTCAACATTTTGAATCTAAAATTAAATATTTCATACTTCATGTTTTCTTAATAGGTCCTGAAATAAAATATCTTAAGTCAAGGATCCTCAAGATATTCTCTTCGGATATTGATGCCAGGATTGACTAATTTACTTTTCTTATTTACATTTCTTTTCAGTTTATGCCAATTATTCAAACAGAAAGTGAACACAAATCTCCAGTAAATGGAAGTTACTTTGCCCATGTTAACTCTGAAGATGGAGGGTGCCTGCTCGAGAAATACAGTGAGAAATATCACGATTTTGGGTGTGCATTACTGGCTAATCTTTTTGCCAGTGAGGGCCAACCTGGAAAGGTGATTTTTTGTTCACAAAGACACAGTATTCTCCAGAAGTTCTCAGATAGCTAAAAATTTGAACTTTAACTGCCACAAGTACGGTTTTCTTAAAAGTCAAAACCAGCTGAGCCAAATTTTATTACAGATTCAGAGAGTACTACAAGTAAGGTGAAAGTCTTATTTAAAACTGAGGTGAAGAATACTTAGTAAGCAATACCTTGTTTTCTGAGGAATAAAAGGTAATGCTATTCATGTGCGGAGTGAGTCAAATAGATGAACCACGCAGCTGAAATAGACAGATACTACCTACCTGCAGTTACTATGTAGGTAATTTGTTCATTGCTGATTGATCAGACGTTGGTTGAGCTAGACAGAAATTGTGGCAGCAAAATATTACATCAAGAAAGCGGTAAAAAAAATTAATGCCTCACCTCGTATTTACTTCCTGTTAGAACACGAAAAGATCATTTCAATGTTAGCAGTTGTGAGAACTCTCAGATTTTTAAATAGAGGGAGCTACTTCGGCTACTTTGAGAAGCCAGGTAGTGAAGTAAAAAGACCTAATTAAGTGGAGGTAACACAAGTCCAGAATTTTAAGGGAAAGGAAAAGATGTAATCACTTTCTCCTCCCTTCTGACTTACCAGAGGTTAACCCCTTTGAGCCAGGAATTCTCAACCTTTTGCCGCCTTGACATGTAAATGATAAGAATCTCTAGAGCTCAGTAGAAGACTTCGCTATAACTCTCTCTGTCCAAGAAAACATGAATAAGACTTATTAGAGTAAATGATAACTCATCATACACACACATACATACACACACACACACACACACACACGCACGCACACTATGTATTGTTGATCAAGACAGGATTGAGACATCTCGCTCAACTCCTATGTGTGTGCTCCAAGCAAACAAGTGACTGCTTCATGGCATTAGATTGTATGTTTCATTTTGATAGTTATTCACATAAAATTTTGCAACTTAGAGCAATGGAATGCATATTTATGTCCTCTCTAGGTCATTGAGGTGAAAGCCAAAAGAAGAACTGGAAAACTTAACTTTGTGACTTGTATGAGACAGACTCTTGAAAAACATTATGGAGATAAGCCTGTAGGGATGGGAGGTACTTTCGTAATTCAGAAGGGAAAAGCGAAGACTCACATAATGGTAAGAGTCTTTGTGTACATGTGTATATGGGTATGTATGTGCACATACTTCAGATCTTGAGATTTTTTAATATACATTGAGAATTCTACCCTTAAAACACCCTGAATGCTTTTACTATGATTGTATTAATTTTACTTATTTACTTATTTATTTAATCCTTTAAGTTTATTTTATTTTGAGAGAAAGAGAGAGCAGGGGAGGGGCAGAGAGAGAGAGAGAGAATTGAGAATCCCAAGCCAGCTGCACGCTCAGTGCAGAGCCCGACACAGGGCTCGATCTCGCAAACCGTGAAATTATGACCTGAGTGGAAATCAACAGTTGGACGCTTACCTGACTGAGCCACCCAGGTGCCCCATGTATTACTTTAAAACTTAAATGACAAACAATACTGTAAATCATACTGTAAGATACTGTCTAACCAGAGTCCTTTCTTTATGTTAATATATTGGAACTTTCTGTTTTTAAGATGTAGATAGGTATGAGTATAAGCCTTAGAAATAGATTATGAATTTTTTTTGGATTATCATTTTTATTGCCAGAATCCCAAACTGCATATGTTGACTTTGCTATCTAGATGGTTGTGGTTTTGGGGAAAGGAGTCATTATGAAAATTATAATCTTATGGGCTAATTATGTAAGTTTATAAGACAATAAGGATGGAATACCGTATGAAGCAAGACCCAGGGCATTTTTTTTTAATTTTTATTTTTTTTAATGTTTATTCTTGAGAGAGAGAGAGAGCGCGCGCGTGCACACGTGCATGAGTGGGGGAGGGGCAGAGAGAGAGGGAGACACAGAATCTGAAGCAGGCCCCAGGCTCTGAGCTGTCAGCACAGGGCCCAATGTGCGGCTCGAACCCACAAACCATGAGATTATGACCCGAGCTGAAGTCAGACGCTTAACCAACTGAGCCACACGGGCACCCTGAGGTTTTAAAATAATGTTTTGTAGGTGAATGAATGAATCAAGTGTAAAAGTAATTACAACTTAATTTCCTTTTCATTCTGTCACTAAACTCATCAAAAATGTTTGGTTCTGGGGCGCCTGGGTGGCGCAGTCGGTTAAGCCTCCGACTTCAGCCAGGTCACGATCTCGCGGTCCGTGAGTTCGAGCCCCGCGTCGGGCTCTGGGCTGATGGCTCAGAGCCTGGAGCCTGTTTCCGATTCTGTGTCTCCCTCTCTCTCTGCCCCTCCCCCGTTCATGCTATGTCTCTCTCTGTCCCAAAAATAAATAAACGTTGAAAAAAAAAAAAAAAAAAAAAAAAAAAAAAAAAAAAGAAAAATGTTTGGTTCTAATGTTTTTTATCCTGATAATTTTAAATGGCAAGTCAGCTGATTTTGCAAAGAAAGACACAACATTTACGAAACTACTTAATTTTCCAAATTGTTAAAAACAGAATTGTAGATAAATCTAATTGCAAATACCAAATAAATACAGGCATTTTTAAAACTCAAGTACACAATACTTTATTATTAACTATGGGCATATCTCATTTTACTGTGTTTCACATTATTGCATTCGCAAATACTGCATTTTTCATACATTAGTTTGTGGCAGCACTGCATCAAGCAAGTCTTTTGGCACTAAATTTCCAACAGCATTTGCTCACTTCCCCTCCCTGTGTTGCATTTCGGTAATTCTCGCAATATTGCAAACTTTTTCATTGTTCTTATTATATTTGTTATGGCAGTCTGTCATCAGTGATCTTTGAAGTAATGATTGTACTTGCTTTGGGGTGCTACAAACGGCACCCATGTAAGATGGTCACCTTAATAAATGTTGGTCTGTTTTGACTTTTCCACCAACCAGCCCGGTGTCTCTCCCTCTCCTCAGGCCTCCCTATTCCCTGAGACACAACAATATTAAATTTAGGCCAGTTACTAACCCTACAGTGGCCTCTCAGTGTTCAAGTGAAAGGAAGAATCACACGTCTCTCACTTTAAATTAAAAGCTAGACATGATTAAGCTTGTGAGGCAGGCATGTCAAAAGCCAAGGAAGACCAAAAGCTGGACCTCCCATCCAAACAGCCAAGGTGTGAACGTAAAGGAAGAGTCCTTGATGGAAAATTAGAAGTGTTACTCCAGTGAATCCACAAATGGTAAGAAAGCAAAAATAGCCTTGTTGCTGACATGGAGAAAGTTTTAGTGGTCTGGATGGAAGATCAGACAAGCCCTAACATTCCCTTAAGCCAAAGCCTAATCCAGAGCAAAGCCCTTCTTCAATTCTGTGAAGGCCGAAACGGGTGAGGGAGCTGCAGAAGAAAAGTTCGAAACTAGCAGAGGTTGGTTCATGAGGTTTAAGAAAAGAAGCCATCTCCGTAACATAGCAATGCAAGGTGAAGCAGCAAATGCTGATGTAGAAGCTGCAGCAAGTTATCCTCCAGAGATCTAGCTAAGGTAATTAATGAAGGTGGCTACACGAAACAACAGATTTTCAAGGTAGACAAAACAGCCTTCTGTTGGAAGAAGATACCGTCTAGGACTTTCATACCTATAGAGAAGTCAATGCTTTGCTCCAAAGCTGCAAAGGACAGGCTGACTCTTCTGTTAAGGCCTAATGCAGCTGGTGGCTTTAGGTTGAAGCCAGTGCTCATTTACCATCCTGAAAATCCTAGGGCCCTTACGAATTATGCTAAATCTACTCTGCCTGTGCTCTATCAGTGGAACAGCAGAGCCCAGACGATAGCACATCCATTTACAAAATGGGTTACTGAATATTTTTAGCATGCTTTTGACGCCAACTGCTCAGAAAAACATATTCCTTGCAAAATATTACTGCTCATTGACAATGCACCTGGTCACCCAAGAGGTCTGATGGAGATACACAATGAGATTCATGCTTTCATGCCTGCTAACATTGCATCCATTCTGCAACCCACGGATCAAGGAGTAATTTCAGCTTTCAAGTTTTATTATATGAGAAATACATTTCAGGGGCGCCTGGGTGGCTCAGTCGCTTAACCATCTGACTTTGGCTCAGGTCATGATCTCATGGTTCGTGTGTTCAAGCCCCATGTCATGCTCTGTGCTGACAGCTCGGAGCCTGGAGCCTGCTTCGGATTCTGTGTCTTCCTCTCTCTCTGCCTCTCCCCTGCAGGCACTCTGTCTCTCTCTTAGAAATAAGTAGACATTAAAAAATTAAAAACAGTACATTTCATAAGATTATAGCTTCCATAGAAATATGGCAGCTCAGGGAAAAGTCAGTTGAAAACCTAGAAAGGATTCACCATTCTAGATACTATTAAGAACATTTGTGATTCATGAGAAGAGGTCAAAATGTCAGCATAAATAGGAGTTTGGAAGAAGTTGATTACAACTCCCATAGATGACTTTGAGGGGTTCAAGACGTAAGTGGAGGAAGTAACTGCAGAAGTGGTAGAAACAGCAAGAGAACTAGAAGTGGAGCCTGAAGGTGGGGCTAAATTACTGCAATCTCATGATCCAACTTGAACAGATGAGGAGTTGCTTCTTAGGGATGAACAAAAAAAGTGGCTTCTTGAGATGGAATCTGCTGGTGAAGATGCTGTGAAGATTGTTGAAATGACAACAAGGGACTTAGAACATTACATGAACTAAGTTGCTAAAGGATTGGCTCCAATTTTGAAAGTTCTGTGGGTAAAATGCTACAGAACAGCACTGTTCACCACTGTAGCACCCTGATCACTCAACCCTGAGCCATCAACACTGAGGCAAGAGTTTATGCCTTGAAAAAACAAGTTTATGACTTGCCGAAAGCTCAAATGATTGTCAGCGTTTTTTGGCAATAAAGTACTTTTAAATTTAGGTATGTACATTTTTTAAGATATAATACACCCTTGATAGACCGCAGTATAATGCAAACATCACTTTTACATGCAATGGGAAACTAAAAAATTCATTTGACTTGCCCCTATTTTATTGCAGTGGTCTGGAACTAAACCCACAATATCTCCAAGGTATGCCTGTAGTTAACCATAAGGTGCATTATATCTCTAAAACTTACCCATCTTGTAACTGAAAAATGTTGTACCCTTTGACCTTCACCTCATTTTCCCCATTCCCCAGCTCCTGGCAACCACCACTTCATGTGTCTGTTTCTCCAAATTGGACTCTTTAGATTCCAGTAAGTGATACCATGCAATATTTGTGTTTGGCCTATTTCATTTTAGCATAATGTCCTCCAAGTTCATCCATGTTGTTACATCCATGTTGCAGGATTTCCTTCCTTCCTAAGCCTGGATAACATTCCTTGTATATGTGTGTGTATACATATGTCATAATTTTACATATTTATACACACTCATATATAATCAAATCACACATTTATTTATAATACTGTTTTCCATAATGATTGCACCGGCTTACATACCTACTAACAGCATACATGTGTCCCTTTTTCTCCACATCCTTGTCAACACTTGTTATCCCTTGCTTTTTTGATAGCAACCATCCTCACAGGAATGAGGTGATATCTCATGGTTTTGACTTGCATTTCCCTTCCCTGATGATATTGAGCACCTTTTCTTATACCTGCTGGCCATTTGTATGTCTTGTTTGGAGAAATGTCTAATTTAGTTCCTTTGCCCATTTTTTAAGTTGGTTGTTTTTTGCTATTGAGTTGTAGGAGTTCCTTGTATATTGTGGATATTAACCCCTTATTGGATAAATATTTTTTCCCATTCCATAGATTGCCTTTTCATTTTGCGGCTTGTTTCCTTTACAGTGCAGACGTTTGTAATTTGATATAGTCCCACTTGTTTATTATTCCTTTTGTTGTCTGTAGTTTTTTTTTTTTTTTTTTAATTTTTTTTTCAACGTTTATTTATTTTTGCGACAGAGAGAGACAGAGCATGAACGGGGGAGGGGCAGAGAGAGAGGGAGACACAGAATCGGAAACAGGCTCCAGGCTCTGAGCCGTCAGCCCAGAGCCTGACGCGGGGCTCGAACTCCCGGACCGCAAGATCGTGACCTGGCTGAAGTCAGACGCTTAACCGACTGCGCCACCCAGGCGCCCCTGTTGTCTGTAGTTTTTATGTCATATGCAAGAAATTATGGTGAAAATCCCATATTCTGAAACTTTTCCCTTAAATTTTCTTCTAAGTTTTATATTTTAGCTCTTACAGCTAGGTCTTTGATCCATTTTGAGTTCTTTTTTTGTACATGTATAAATTAAGGGGCGACTTCACTCTTTGCACATGAATATCCAGTTTTCCCAGCACCATTTTTTGAAAAGATAGTCCATTTTCCATTGAATGGTTTTGACACCCTTATTGAAAATTATTTGACCATATATGCAAGGGTTTATTTCTGGGATCTCTGTGCTATTCCACTGATTTGTGTGTCTGCCTTTATGCCAATGTTACACCGTTTTGATTACTTGTAGTAAGTTTGATATCAGGAAGTGCTAGGCCTCCAACTTTTCTCTTTTCCCCGAAGATTGGTTTGGCTCTTCAGGGTCCCTTGAGATTCCACATGACTTTTATGATGGATTCTTCTATTTCAGCAAAAAACTTTATTGGGATTTTAATAGGGTTGGCATTAAATCTTTAGATTGCTTTTGGTGGCATTAACATCTTAACAATATTGTTCGATTCATGAACACAGGATATTTCTCCATTTATTGGAGTCTTTTTAAATTTCTTTTATTTTTTTAAATGCTTTATTTTTGAGAGAGAGAGAGAGAGACAGAGTGCCAGCAGGGGAGGGACAGAGAGAGAGGGAGACACAGAAACCGAAGCAGGCTCCAGGCTCTGAGCTGTCAGCACCGAGCCCAACGCAGGGCTCAAACTCACAAACCTTGAGATCATGAGCCATAGTCGGATGCTTAACCGTTGAGCCACCCAGGTGCCCCCTTGGAGTCTTCCCAAATTTCTTTTAGCAGTGCTTTGTAGTACAAGTTTTTGTTTGTTTTGTTTTTGCTTCCTTGAATAAGTTTATTTTATTCGTTTTGATGCTTCTACCAACTTTTAATGCCTTGTTCCCCACCCACACACCCCTCGATGTACTGGTAGCAGTAATGAGATTTAAAATTAGGACGAGGATATATTTCCAGGAAAACTGAGAAGCTATGAAAAGTAAAAAGATAGTAGTAGGCTCATTCTTTCATTTATTCATTCATGCATTTTAGCTTATACACTTGATTGGTGATCCTTTTGAAAACTATGGTATATTATTTGTTTTGATTCTAAAAATAGTCAAATGTATAAGAAGGCTTACATTTCTAATGTAATGAAGTTAGATACAATTTACATTTTAATTCTCAATAATATTCTATATATTTAGAATGATCTTTTATTGTAGCCCACAGAATTTTCTTCCTGCCCTTTGAACTCTGATGAGGAGGTGAATAAATGGTTGCACTTTTATGAGATGAAAGCTCCTTTGGTTTGTCTGCCAGTTTTTGTCTCCAGAGACCCAGTAAGTTTATGTCCGTCTTTTATATTGCAGTATAATACAGTGATTATGCTTAGGTTTTAGGATATTCTTTTAAAATTAGGCACTTTCTGAGTTGTCATTTAAGAACTAGGATAGTCTCCAGAATTATCTTGAAAGATGAGGGAGCAGGTGGCTAACGCCCCTATGAGTTAGTTAGGCAGGGCAGATTTTACCTTCGAGCAAACCAAGGCACAGGTATTTTACATGATACCCAAAGTCATGTTATTAAATAGTAGAATCAAGACCATGATTCGGGTCTCCTATCACCTTATTTGTTGCTCATCATACCATTCCTTATATTCTAACACTAGACACTAGAAAAAGATATGAGAGAGACCAATTCAGAGAAGGTAGCTACCACAATACTGACTTTTGATCCAGCGGTTACGTGTCTAGGAATGTATCCTTAAATATATGTGTAAGTATTTAAAATTATTAGTTAAAAGGTTATTCATAATAGCATTACTATAATAGCAGCATTGGACATAATCTAAATGTTAGTTGAGAATTGGTGGAATCGGTATGTGTGTACAATAGAATGCCATGTAGGTGTAAAAGAAAGCAGAAGCTCTTTTATGATCTAATATACTAAGATCTCAAGCTATATTTTTAAATGAAGAAAAGCAATACTCATCACAGTATGTACAGAGTGAAAATTTGAGTAAAAATTACAAAAGTTAATATTTCTGGAAGGGTATATAAGAAACTCCTTACACCGGGTGCCTGCAAGGAAAGGAAGGAAGGAGGTATAAAGGCAGAAGATGGAAAGACACACTTTATGGAATATATCCTTTTTTACTCTTTGAATTTTGAATTAAGTATATATATTGCTTACTTAAAAAATAAAATAAAAACTATTATAACAAATAAAAAGGTCTCCCTCCCCCTTAAACAATTCCTACCCAGGATAATTTAAATACTGACAGATAGCTTGTCTGTTGTCCTAGGGGTTTGATTTGCGATTGGAGCACACCCATTGTTTCAGTCATCATGGAGAAGGTGGACACTACCATTATGACACTACCCCAGACACAGTGGAATATCTTGGATACTTCTTGCCTGCAGAGTTTCTGTATCGCATTGATCAACCAAAGGAGACCCATTCAATTGGGCGAGATTAAATCAAATGAAAAAGAAATAATTAAGGTTAAGTAATCAACTCATTGATTGATACTAATATAAAATCCAATAGAAATGATCTCACGACTTAAATCCCATTGTTTTGGCCATTAACTGAAAGGTACGTTGACCTCTGTACTCTGGATTATCTGATATATCTTAGAGATTATTGGGAACAAACATACATAATGAAAAAGGTTCATTTTTTTATTCTTTATTCACAGCAAAATCAGTCTTATGTTTATACCTTAAATATAACATGATCAGGAATCACGTGATTATACCTACTATCTACTGGTAATAACTTACATTTGTATAACATTATTAAATTTTTCAAAATACTCTCACAAGTCCTAAGTGGATGTTTCTGGGTATGAGAAAAATCAGTGTTGCAAATGCTGATAGTTATTGAATCTGTAGTATTAAATTTTAAAAATCCATTTTAGAAATCAGAGTATACTTTTTTATTTTCGTGGAATAAGGTGGGCAGAGGAAGCAAGTTTCCCCCTTTTGGTGGGGTTGAACCATACTCAGGAGTTCGCAATTTGACTTTCACAAACATTGGCAACTAGGTGGTTAGCCATGATGCCTCCTTTGTTTGGGTTGCCAGTTGGAAGCAGTTTGTAACTTGTTGGCTATTTGCCAGAAGGAAAGGGAAAAGAAACATCCAAATACAACACTGAAGTGGGTATACTTTAAATTATAAGTGAGGCCGTTGGTACACATGACACTGTCCTTTGTGAAATAAAAAATTATACTCTTTTACTGATTGAAATTGTTGACATTATCCTCAGTATTCTTCTTTAATAATCATTAGCCAGAAATCAACTGTCTAATCGTAATCTTGCTAATGCTAAGCATGTGCAGATTTAGGAGCTCTTTAATAGCAAACACATACTAAATCTTCAAAAAATATTTTTTGATTGTCTTCTTTGAATGTTACCTATAACCTGTCCTGTGAGTAGAAATTTGTAAATGTTATTTTTACAAGAAGCACTAGTTTGAAGCAAAAAATGAATAAAAAGTTTATAGTCACAATATGATGTTTCTTTTTAATATCTTGCCTCCAGACAGGAAAAAAAGAGCTTTGTTTACCAGTGTAGCACTAATGCCTTTAATAGTGCCTGGCCAAAGCAGGCACTCAATAAATATTTGTTGAATGAATGAGTGTATAGAAGATTATGTCAGACACTTCACCAGATGCGGGCCTCTATCATTCAATCGTTTATATGGGGGG